TTAACACTTTTGCATCAAAGTACCTTTCAAATTTTCAAACAACATACCTGTGTGAACAAACATTTTCAAGAATGAAATACGAGAAGAACCATTTGAGAGCAACCGTGGAAATTATATTTCGTTGGGGGGAGGGGCGGTAGGCGTTCTTGGTGGGGAGGGGGGCACGACCCTGAAGAGATGCCTCAAAGAAACTCTGGCCCCCGAACTGATATTTGATAGTTAATGCGGCCCTCTGGCTGAAAAGTTTGGAGACCCCTATCGTAGAGTAATAAATAATGTTTCCCCCTTTTGAATGTTTCCCCACTTCCTCCTTTTAGAAATCTTCTATAAGTTCAACTCTACATTAAAATAACTCTATGACGTGACTCCATAAATATTAAAGACAAAACAGAGTTAAATATCGAAACAATACAAATGAAAATCTATTTTTTTTATTAATTATTAAAGTTGTTATTAACAAGTAAATTTAATTAACGTATTAGGCATATGTGTTGAATCAACATATTACATTATTTAACATCCATTTATTAAATGTAGATTTTCTTTGTTGTCGTAATTTAGGATTTAATTGTTGTCAAAAACAAAAAGTAATGGATACTGCTTTGGTTTAGTGTGCTAAATACTCTGTTATTTAAGTCCCTTTGCAAATTGACCAGGGGAAATAACTCACTAGGACACGATGACGTATGTACACTCCTCCAGGGGACAGAACTAACAAGCATCCCTTGGAACTGGGTTTTTACCTAATTAATGTTCGTTAATTAACGACGGGGTAATCCATAACCAGAGAATCAGATGTAACTCAGCAGGAGAAACAATAGCTGAGGCTCGAGGGGTAACTCTCTGTTGGTAAAAACCACAGATAAAACAGTAACTGAACCACCTCATTATTAAAAAAAATACATAGCTAGGGATTTAGCTAAAATTTCGTATTATTAAAATACTTAGCTAGAAATTTAGCTGAAACTTCACATTGTTAGAATCCTTAGCTAAAAATTTTGCTGAAACTTCATATTATTAAAATACTTAGCTAGAGATTTAGCTGAAACTTCACATTGTTAAAATACTTAGCAAGAAACTTAGCTAAAACTTCACACTGTTAAAATCTGTAGCTTGAGATCTAGCCGAAGCTTCAGATTGTTAAAATCATTAGCTAGTGATTTAGCTGAACACACCATTCATGTCTACAAGTTGCCATCTTGCAGATCCTCTCCCCCGACCCCCCTCCCCCGACCCCCCTTCCCCGACCCCCAATGTCGCCTAGCAGTCTCCCAAACCCAATATTTGCATGAGAAGAGCCACGACGCCGAGAGATTAATGCCAGCGACTTCCTGTTTTTCTGCGCACACTCCTCGCTACTTGATGCAAAACTTATTTTCCCGAGGTGCGGAAAATGTGAACATTATTGTAAAATGTGTGAATGGAGCTTAGATTTACCTTTCAACAGATAAGGTTAAAAGTAAAAATTAACGAGTCGCGTGTATAATATATGTCATTATAAACAAACACTGGAAGACATGACAGTTGGAGTAGATTTTGTCAGTTTTTGTTACGTTGGCATACAGAGAATTCATTTATTCTTTATCAGTCAGGTACCTACTAGAGCTAGATAAACTTAAATAACTAAGAAAGATGAAGAAGAAGAAGAGATTTCAGAAAACGTTAACCTTAACTTGGTTTATATGGTGAGTATTGACCCTCCACAAAGACTGATTTGCTTTTCTTTTACATGAGAGGGAATTCTTAACTTTGAACAAACAGTGTATTAATTTAAAAGTGTTTTTTTTTTTGTTCAATTCAATGTAGATCGGAGGTCATTTTGTGTTTATTGTATGTGTCTATTGTTATGTGTTATGGCTTTAGCCGTTTTTTTTTTCAGAATAAAAAGAGTGGCAGTTTGTATTTTATTGTATGTGTCAATAGTTTGTGTTATATCTTTAGCCGTTTTTTTTTTAAAAATCAGAATGGAAAAGATGTCAATTTGTGTTTATTGTATGTCTATTATTGCCCTTTATGTCATTAGCCTGTCTCACACTCAACAATTCTATTTCATTACTAAAAATAAAACAAAGTCATTGAACCGATAAATGATCAACCCAACAACGGAGACAAGAAACTTGGATACAAGACCAGTGGACCAGCAAAATGACAACAAAATCTCCATCCAAATTTTATGAGCAGGCGAGAATGTAGTGAGTGCAGCCTTGTTGGCTATTCGGAGGTCGATAGAGAAAGTAGCCTGTGCTGCATTTCCGGCTATACGGAGGTCGATACAATGTAGTTAGTGTAACATTTCCGGCTATAAGGAGGTCGATAGAGAAAGTAGTCTGTGCAGCATTACTGGCTATACCGAGGTCGGTGTTGAAATAAAATGAAATGTGAATAAAAATGCGAAAAGCCGGCTAAAGTAAATGAGATGTAAAGATTCACAATTGGTAATAAATCAATCGTTGTGACTAAATAATGTATCTCGTTTTAACTACCAACATTAACCTCTGGCCATTTCAGTTTGGGACAATTTATCTCCCTGCTTCACACGCCATTAGTGGTGTCCCTTTAACAGTAGGGTATTTTTAGCTCCCGTGTCCTATTTAAAATTGCTGTCTTGGTATTATTTTTTTTTCCTGCTGATAGAGGAAAAGATTTATTCTCGCCTTGGGGTGGAAGCGGTGGGGGGGGGGGGGGGGGATTTTATAGATTAACGAAACCGTCTGCTGAGAGTAGGAATACATTTCCCATGGCATGACCTATTTTTATCCGTATAATTTATTCATTGTTTACAGCTGTTTACATTGGTTGTTTGACCTAATTCTAGCCAAAGCCCTAATTGAGCCGCAATAACTCAATCGTTTTTAAGTGACTAAATCTCGTTTGTATAATGCTAAAAGTACAGAATAAGTTGTAATGTCTATTTTATAAAGTACATTTTGTACAGTGGCGGAACTAGAAAAAAAGGGCCACCCCGCAAATAAATTTTTTGGGCCCCATATATATATATATATATATATATATATATATATATATATATATATATATATATATATATATATATATATATATATATATATATATATATATATATAAACGAAAATGCCAATATAGAGTACTCTTTTCGGGCTTGTTCGAGTTTTTAAAAAAAAATTAAAAATACTTACTTTTTAAAAATTTAAACCAAGTTACAACAACGCGTCATTTTTGTGAGTGCTTATTAGTCTATTTTGAAAATCTCTATTTTTATAAATTATATGTTTGCTATAATGCTTCCTGTCAGTGTTTCTTCCAGACTTTTTTTCTCCGGGGGGGGGGGCGGCAGACTTTCTTCGGTGGGGGGGGGGGGGGTGGACACTGGTAGAAGTATATATTTTCTATATAAATTTCATTTCGTTGGGGGGTGCGGTTAAAATGTTTTGAGATGCCTGGAAGAAATTCCTGTAACTGTTAGTCAGTCGGTCAAAGAAAAATGAAGCATAAAAGCTTTGTATGTACAATGGGTTCTCACGTTATGTTTATTTTCATGTTTTTTCGTATTTATATTATTAGTTTTAAATACATTTCCTGTTTATGCTTTGTCATTCTTTATTATGTATTTTTTTTTAAATAATTAAGAGAAGTAATTGCTTTTTTAATTTGTTTAGTGCAAATCTATTAAAAGGTGCTTGAGAGCACACATATTCGACTATTAAAAAAAGGGAAATAAGTCATGTAAGTGGTTTGAACGTTTGCGTATCTTTCACGCGATTCATTTGTTTTCAAAAGAATTTTACCGACAACAACGTGTGTTTGATTGTAGGAGAAAGAGGACTCGGGATGGTATCTATAGAATAAAGATAATGAAACCACACCTATAGTATTCTTTTTACAAAACAACCATCAAGTCAAAAATGCAAGTTTTTTTTTAACTGTAAAAAATAACTGATTATGGTCGGCTGCGGGCCCCTAAACGGCCCGGGCCCCCCCCGCATTGCGGGGTCTGGCGGCACTGTAGTTCCGCCCCTGATTTTGTATCCACTCTCTAGTGGTAAATAAACAAACTAATTAGCTGAAAGTGAGTCTACCACGCTTAATTTGGCACCGGTGATCATTTCTCCCGCAAAACTAATGTATGGGAATTTATCGTTTTTTTCCGACATATTTTGGATGCCATTGATGTTGTTTTGTTCGTTTATTTTTTATTTATTTTTTTTAGATTTGTTTTTTTAATTTTAATTTATATATATATATTTATTTATTTATTACATTTTTTTATATAATTTTTTTTTTTACTTTTTTAATACCATTGACCACACTCTTTTTGTATTATTACCGGGAGCCGTGAGGCGGGTCAAGATTAGTTTAAGATGACACTTAGAAAAAAAGGTGAAACATTGTAAGATACTAATAGACTCCATAATCTGAGAGAAGAAGATTGGATAATTGTCCCCCGGATATCAAAGTGCAGTCTGGACTGCATGTTGAGCAGAGTCTGATTTTGCCAATGTACCCCCCCCCCTCTCCACACCACTGATTGTTTTAAATTACGGATGAAATATAAAATTATATAACTTTACCGAAATTTAAATAACCCCGAAAGTATAGAGAGGAGATTTTCGTAAGAGTTATTTTGTTACATGAACAATTATCCTGAATTATATATATGTTAATATTGAACTATTTTTTTAGAACTGGTTGAAGTATTATCAATTGTTTTAAAATATATGATATTAGAATAATTTAATGAGATTGTTAATGCTACAAACATATTTTTATCGCTACATTTGTTTTAAAAATATAAGTTAATATTAATATTTTAGACTATTTTGGGTTATAATTTATTAGTAGCCAACAAAAGAGGGTAACAAAATAAAATAATACATAACTAAAAAATCTAATAAGAAATGAAAAGGATTAAGTTAAATATAAAAATGGCTGTGAGATGAAGCAAAACAAGAAAAAAAAAAGTAAAACACAATATAAACTAACAAAAACATTATGAATTAAAAAGTAATCATATTATTACTTACCTATTACCTAAATGTCCATTCTTTATTGGGCAGGCTAGATCGAAGATTTTGTCAAAGGCGTTCTGAAAGAAAAAAAAATTATGCAGAATAGCTTATTTGCTAATGAAAATGGCAATCGAATTTCCGTTATTTGCAATTATAGATAGTATAGTAAGTTCTCCTCGTGGTATCCTAATCAATAAGGGTTATGACGCTACGTTAAGTGTATGGATTGAAAGATGGCAAGGTCATGCAAAAAGACAGGTTTTGACTTGGCAAACTGCTATCGTTGAAGGGCAATGAAGCCATGATTTAACCAAACACAAAGCCATAATTTTCCCACGCACAAGTTCATGAATTTACCACCCACGTTATGATTGTACTACGACCGAGTATGATTGTACCACACACGAAGCTATGATTGTACCACGCTCGAGGTTATGATTGTACTATGAGCGAGGCTATGATTGTACCACACACGAAGCTATGATTGTACCACAAACGAAGCTATGATTGAACTATGCTTGAGGCTATGATTGTACCAACCACGAAGTGATGACTGTACCACGCACACGGCTATGATTTTAGCGCACATAAATCTATAATTGTACCATGCACGAATCTATGATTGTACCATGCAAGAGGCCATAATTGTACCAGCGCTCGAGGCTATGATTGTACCACGCTTGATGCTATGATTGTACCACGCAAGACGCCATTATTGTACCACGCAAGTCGCCATGAATGTACCACGCATGAAACCATGATTGTACCGCGCAAAACGCCATGATTGTACCACACTTGAAGCCATGATTGTACCACGCAAGACGCCATGATTGTACCACGCAAGACGCCATGATTGTACCACACTTGAAGCCATGATTGTACCACGCTTGAAGCCATGATTTTACCACGCAAGACGACATGATTCGAGTACGCACGACATCACTAACAGTTAAATTTCCAAGAAGAGTTACGGCTCCTGTCCGCGACCCCTACACGACCTCCACCCAATCACCGCGGAACAAACTGTCTCTTAATGACGTCCTACCCAACATTTGCTGACGTAGGCAGTCAAATCAAGGGACATTATCCAAGCAGAACAAGCTAATGCAGCGTGATAAAGGTCTAGAAAAATTGTTTTTTTTTTCAACACATGAACATTTTCAGTTTTTGCCTAAGACGTGATAGTAATGTGAATGTCACTATTGATATATGTTGCTGTAAAATAAACATTTAATATAGATCATGTAAACAAATCAGTTAGCTTAATGTAATTTTATTGGTTTTTGTGTGAATATTATAACAAAAAAAAGTAATACAAATGACTGAATGAAATATTTTGTACACATCAAGTTTATTATATAGTTTAGTTTAGTATTAGAGCACGAGAAAGCGAATTTGAAATTGTTTCATCTCAGATGTTAATTGTACTTCATGGTCGTAAGATAGAGCGTTCAACTGCTAACACGAAAGTCCCGAGGTCGGATCACGAGCTTGAGTCTATATGACACCCTGGATTCCACCCAACTTAGATAGCAACATGACTAACACTATCCCTTCATATACCGACGTCACAAAATAGATACACGCTACTTCACCTGGCGAATCGGCCGCCAGGTCCCAGCGGGTAACTATGGACTGTTAGTCCATGAAAATGTTGCCTGTCGTTGTTTGGTATAGCGTGGTGATCGAAAGTGTACGTAGTTCATCTGTGATAGACCTCTTGCGTCAATAAAAATCCGTAGCTCTATTATTTGTGTAACGAAGCCAATTTCCAAATCGTTCATTAAACAAGTGGTATAGTTTTTTTTTACTAGGAACAAATAACGTCATTATCTCCATTTGTCTTCCTTAGATACCGTCCCCTTTTTTCATTAACAGCTTCGGGCTTTAGAAGAAACTTGATGATGCCTTACTAGGAGGGGGGGGGGGATTGAGGAGGGGTTTCTTGGAGAATTCCACGGTCTTACCACTTGAGCCCATTATTATATTTAATGATCAATTTTGCCGTCTGGGTACTTAGATTTGCTGAGCTACTTTTTTCCCCTATCTTGTCATTTTGTATTGATTTTGTCGTTCGAGGAATAAGACTAAAATATTATTCGGAGAGAAATGGACATTTTTTACAGGGTAATATTTTAATGAGCTTTTAGGCTTGTTATTTTAATTTAAAAAATGACATTTTTTGGACAACGTTGAAAGATTATAGTGACATTTTGTATCTAATTTTCGAAAGCACGATTAACTAATTTACATTAGCCGGAAACTTTTTTCAAAATCTCAACCTTTATTATTTTTTTGTATCAAGCGAAATTGTCAAAAAATTAATTATGCTGTTTTAATGGAATAGAAGCAAGCGTGGGAAAAAATTAATTAAAAATTATTTGAACAAAAAAAAACATGATAAAATGTAAACAAAATATAAAAACAAATTCCGGAATTCCAGGAAACAGTGACCTGCCTATGGAAAGCACCAAATCACCTTCCTCTCTAGAAAAAAAAAGATATAGTTATATCGCTTATATTTTTACACGAATTTGTTTTCAGGCTTCGTTACACCAAATGGGAAACCTACAAAATGCTAGCAGTAATGTGGATTTTGCAAGGACGATAGTGAAAGAAAATCTTTATAAAAATGTGATAATTTGTGCTGAGTTGGGGGGATCTATTTAGAAAGAGTTAAACTCGGAGACAAATTAGATATATGACATTGAGGATGGTAGTAAGTAATTTGCTTTTGTGTAAGATTCAGCATGCCAGTACAGTATGACGTGTATTTACATTTGTCAGCGATGGAGATAAGGATTTGGTTCAAGGCTAAGGTCAAGGCTAGTGCTTAAGACAGATTTAAACGCTGATAGCAAAAAAACACAGCGTAAAAAATGTATATACCGAAACTTACAGTGACAATAAAGTCTAGAATAAAAGCCAGTCTCAAAGACGAATAGGAGAGATTATAGGTGGACTTGAGTGCAAAATAAATTATGGAATACGTGCTCATTTTCTTTTCATCACAAATACATTCGGATTTTAAAGTGAATTAATTTTTAATATAGTAGTTTATCATGTATTTATCAGATTTTAAACCATTTCTCATTTAACATGCTTAATAGCAACTATTTTTTTCCAAATATTAAATGTCAGCTCTATCACATTGCAAGATTCATAGCGTAGCACATTTGCTACAGAGGTTTTTATCCACTCCACTAACATGTGTTGTAATATTTATATGAGTTCCTTTAAAGGTTATAATAAGTAAATCTAATACTGTACCATAAGTAACTGCACCATAAGTAACTGCCCCATAAGTAATTGTACCATAAGTAACTGCACCATAAGTAACTGTACCATAAGTAACTGTACCATAAGTAACTGTAAAATAAGATACTGTACAATAAGTAACTGCACCATAAGTAACTGTACACTAAGTAACTGCACCATAAGTAACTGTACACTAAGTAACTGCACCATAAGTACCTGTACACTAAGTAACTGCACCATAAGTAACTGTACAATAAGTAACTGCACCATAAGTAACTGTACAATAAGAAACTGTACCTGAAATAACAGTACCAGCTTGTCCAATTAAATAGCAAATAATTTGGCTGAGCTTGCCTATGCTTGTTAAGGCACAAGCTGTGTTGTGAGTCTTTATGCCACAATAATGAAATCTTTTAAAATGGTGTATTAGGCTACTACTAAAATATAAAATGATAACATAATTTGGTGATGTAACTGCTACCCATATTCCAAACGCCTACCCGTCCTATCATAGTCCTAATCACTGATATCACAACACTGTCAACAACATTTTACATGTATTTTAGGAATAGTCTAATATTGGACACTGTAAACACAAAGACTTGTTTTTGTTTTTTATGTGACAAAGTTCAGACGATAAAACGAAACAACAAACACGAAATAGCCAGGATTTCAGTTACTGTTTGTATACTTTAGTAAACCCATTCATCAGAGGAATCGAAACGGGGATGACCTTTGAACTTTGTATAAACACCGCAGTGACGAACATCACACAGGGTTAAAGGTCACGTACATTTGGCTGTCAGTCCCTGGCATGTTTAGCGTGGCCCCAGTGAAACATTATTTTTGTATCGATTTATGCTGGCTGTTGGTGACCTTGGGATTTGTGACGTCAAGCGCAGGCTCCGGATGTGGTATGCTATATAAGCTGCGTAAGCTCCACAAGGAAAAGGTTTAAGGTTTAGGTTCGAGGTTTTAAAAAAAAATTATAGTTACAAAACTAGCATTGTGATATTAGCTATGAAAATTTAACTATTAGCTATAGCATAGTAACTAAGCGGTGTTTAACAGGCGATATTAGCCTTACAATGAATATGTAACTACTGAAAGTTAGCTATTAATTATACGATAAGCCTAATTCAATAATATTGCTTGTGTAATACTTAAACGATACCAACTATCCGGTACAAGCAAATTATCGGTATTATACTAGCTTTTCGATATCAGTTATACAATATTAGCATTGCGATATTATCAATACGATATTATCAAAACGATATAATCAATACAATATCAGCAGTACGATATTATTAGTATTATATTTGCAATACGATATTATCAGTTCGATATTGTAAATACGATATTATCAATAAGATATCTGCAAATATTAGTATAATGTTAGAAATATGATATTAGCAATACAATATTATCAAACATATTATCAATATGATATTAGCAAAACGATAATACCAATACACTATTAACAATACTATATTATCAGTATAATATTAGCAATAAAATAGTTAATTCAATATTATCAGATTGATAGTAGCATCAATGTATTAGGAATACTACTACCATTCAAAGATAGTTAGTAGTTAAATATGTATATATATATATATATATATATATATATATATATATATATATATACATATGATAATTGTGTTTTAACAAAAGGTGCATAAAAATACGTTTAACGGCATTCAAATTCTTACATAAACATTTTTATTTCAAGGTTATTATATAAATATTGGTGCTGATGAAGACCATTTAGTGCAACGTTTGCTCACACTGTAATCATCACAACATTCCATGT